GGGGGGGGGGTGGCTCCACTCACAGCACCAATTCAACAAACTAATTTGTCAATACTTGATTTAAAATTCCAAGCTTTCTATTCAACGAGGAAAAATGTCTTGTAATTTTAGCAAGGCTAAGGCTCTGAATGAAGTATTTCAAATGGGTCACTCTAATTAGGCAAAAGTGGCTGATTAAAATTAACCTTTTCAGAAAATAAAATCTAAAAATATGACCTAACTAATGCTATGTAAATTGCTTCACTTGATGATACAATTATATTGGAAACCATGTAAATGTGAGATGCCCTTTTAGCAAAGGTCTGTCATGGTTAACAATGTGATACCTAGGGGAAAAAATTCTTTTCAAACCCAGATAGAACTGTGAACTGAAAACGTCTAGTTCAATATTAAGGTGCTAAATGATACAATTTTTAAGAACAACTAAATATGAAAGAAATCAAAATCTGAAAACAAACAAAAACAATCATTGGAATGAATCCCAGATAGACTAACGGCATTTATTGCAGCTAACCACAAAAAGGATATGAGAATAAAATATTTTCTGATCATCCAAAGTTTTCCTTCATGATTTAGGTACTTACTAAATTACTAACATGCTTTGGAGGGACTGTCTTAAATAAATGTCACTTCCTCCAGGAAGTCTTCCATGAGGTTAGGTATATGAGGAGAGAAAACGAAAAAAAAAAGATTAATCTAGAGAAGAGTAATGAGCCAGGAAAGTAGAAGAGAGAAAAAGATGTTCCGGTGGGGAGTAGTGAGTCTCTCTTTGTGGCATGAGATACAAAGGTTGCCTGCTCAGGTGGTTAGCTGCAATAAATGCCGTTAGTCCATTCCATATTTAGTTGTTCTTAAACCTAACAACGATACTCACTCATACTGTAGGCATTGCTTAAATGAGTTTTCCAGATCACTGAAGCTTACTCCTTTAAAGGCTAAAATACATTTTAAAATCACTTTAGCCATTTTGGTTGGGAGTGTTAAAAATGTGCCATTTGACTCCTTCGTAATAGAATATACACCACCTAACTTGAAACTTTCTTGACCACGCAGGCTCATCAATCTAAAAACATCCCTTAGGCACTTCTAAGAAGTATGGAACTCTTTTCCCTACACTACATAGCCCCAGATCACTGAATATTACTACTTCATTTTCATTTTTATAGTTCTATATTTCCTCTCACGGTCAGGAAGAGCTTTTACTTTTCACTGCTGTTATTGTATCTGACTTTTGCCTCTTCCCCTCCACTCTCTAATCTGCTGTGGGACGGGAAGCCAGACAGATAAACTTGTATAACCACATGTACAACAAGGTTTGGCTGATTTATGTTCATTGGTCTTTGAGTAAGGTCCTAGGTCCTGTCCTGTGAGTAAAGTTCCTTGGATTGGTGACAACTGTTTCAAGAGTTCAGAGACCCTTTTCTACTTAATTCTGAGTTTGGCACTACGTTATAGATAAGTGAAGGAGATAGAGTTTGAGCTCTAAATAGGCCAAGTACCACTGTCACAGAAATCTTCCTTCCAGAATAGTTTGTATTCATGATTTTAGGCCACACTACATTCGTGCAATCGATCATCATTCTGCCTTTAAACTGCAAGTTAGAGATCAGGCTGCAGCTTCCTCAAACATCGTTGTGTCCTGTCCCTTCACGTCACCATCTTTAACTCAGTCCACTTATTTACCATAAGCTAAGTGACTCCCCATCATCTCAAACTCATCAGGTCATTCTCCCTGCCTGAACACTATTCACTCCACCATCTTTTCAGCTTCTTAAAGTGGAACCTTGCTGTCATCAAAGCTCTTCCCTTCCATCAGTTTCCCTTCCTACCCCAGGCAATTTCAAGATTCTGGTGTGTATGGTTCATTTTTGTGTACTTCTGTTTTCCAAACATCTCTCTCACCTTCCTCCACCCCAATCCATCCCAAATACTAGTGCCCTACTCAATCTCCACTTCCTGAACATCGTCGTTGGTTAACTCTCAAAACATTGTCTTGCTTTCGTTTGAATGCTATATATTTACCTTTAATACTTTTTATAGTACTTCTTACCACCCACCTCCTCCTGTTCAGTCTTCACATTATTAGCACTTTTCCAGTTTTAAAGAAACATGTCGAAATTCTCTTTTCTCATCTATCTACTTGAGATCTTCAACTATCTCTTGAGAAATTTTCTTTTCTAAATCACTTGAAAGTCACTTTTCCAATTCAATTTACTCAACTATTTTTCTCTTTCCTAAATTTCCCCAAACCTCTAGAGAAATAATTACAAGATTTGTTGTTGCTGTTGTTCTTCACATATCCCTGCCCTTCTCCTCCTTCCTCAGATCGTAGTTGTCACAATAGTGGGCCTGAACTTCTGAAAATATGATGTGAAGCTATATACTGAGTTAAACAAATCTCATTCCCCAACCATACAACTCCTTGACTTCCCCTCATCAGTCCATTCTTCCACCTCTCCCACAGCTTTCGTACGTGGCCAGCAGAACCCCTATTTCATGGTAAATAAACTCCTTTCTGCCTTCAACTCATTCAGAAAGACTTCCCTCTGCAAATTTGGGTCTCCTTTAAAGACACTGCTTGAGTCCTGACTCATGCAGCCCTCTCAAAGGAAAAGACTCATTCCTCCACAGAACAAATACCTCAGGGTCAGGAGTAGATGAGGGCCCACCTGCTCCTCAGCACCATTAACAGGCCAACACTTTGCCATCCTCAGGGAAAAGCCTCTCCTCCTTTCATGCCCATGACGTCTGACTAGACTTCTTTCCCCTCCTCCTCATCCCTCAATCCATGTGGCCAACCATTTAACACACCTTCTCCAGGTCCTTGACCTCCACATGCCCAATATTCTCTTTCTCTCACTTCAGTCACCCACATTCTGCACTCCACCTTGGACTCTCTCATCCCCTAGGACTACACCCCCTACAACTTCCCACCCTTCCTGCTTCCTAAGGCCCTCACCCCAGTCATCTTGTTCACTGACCAGTCGATTGGCCCATCCTGGCCTCTCTTCCCTCCCTACCCAGCTTGAATTCTGTGGTTGATCGCTGGAACTGCTCTTTACAAGCGCCCTCAACTCCCTACCAGCAAACCTTTGGTTGGACTTCCTGACACCAACCTACTACCTGGGAAGCTTCCTACTTCCTCTGGCTCTACTCTCTGGCTATCCTGCTCTATATCCTTGCTTAGGCCTCTTGCTATCTCCACAGAATCTACTCCTAAATGCCAGCTCCAAACATCCATGCCTGGTTTGGCCTGCCCCATTCCCTTTAAGCTTCCATTCTGAATGAGTGAAATGAAAACCTATGTTACTGTTACAATTTACTACTTTTAAAAATGTTTTTGGATACTTATGTTATTTTATCCACATGACAACCTCTTATCGGGTGGAAGCTCAAGATAATATTGCAGCTGAAAAAAAAATGAGGTTCAGGGAGGTTATGTGGCTTACTCAAGCTCCCACAGTCTCAAAGAGTGGAACTAATTGGCCATCATGATAGTCAGAATATATTTTCTTTCAACCCATCTGAGACACCTATGCTCAATTACTCGACATGCTAGTTGTGGAGGTGTCAGGGATGGGTGGAAAAGAAACACATCAATCAGAAAGAGAGATGCAGAACACCAGCCTAAAGGAGTACCACTGTGAAGGCAGGGGTCACCTCAGGATGGGTTTCCCACATGCAGTCTTCCCAGAAGCAAACATTCAGGTTGCAATTGCTGGCTCAGGGAGAACCATGGATCCAGTCAGTGAGATGCAGGGAAACTCTATGCAGGCCAAGCCACTTTGTGCTCTCTGTGCTGGCTCCCTCAACCAAAACCCAGTAAAGGAAAAGTAGTCAGAACACTGAAAGCACAACTGAGCCAAGAGATGGTGAATCTGGGTAGAGAAGAGAACGATTTAGAGCTTGCTGTAAAAAAACTACTTCCATGCATAATTAGTGTGCACTGGAAGAGAGGACTGGTACGTGACAAGCTCGCTTCTGAACAAAACAAAAAAAAACAGACTGCTCCCCTTCCTACCCTGTGCCATGATGTAATAAAGACCATAGATACAATCAGGTAGAAATCAAAATGGATACACAGATAACAATGATATTGAACAAAGACCTAAATTAAATTTTTTTAAAATTTTTATGAGTCAGAATCAACTCGATGGCAATAGGTTTGGTTTTTGGTTTCATTATGAGATGTGTGAAAAAAATTAAACAGATATGCCTCTAATAATCTTTGAGCTTCTTGGATAAAAACTGTTATATTACCTCTGCATTTGTACATATCCTGAATACAACTAATGTTGTTATCTGCCCTAGGACTTACCTCCCCCAACAAAAATACAAATATTTAACAAAATAATCATTTACCTTATAGAAGATCAAGAAAAGATCATCCAGTTTCCCATGCAAATCACCTGGAATACAAATGAAAAATTGGTGTTCAGTAGGAAACAAGATGCAATGCCCGTTTTGTTACAGAATTTTAAAACTGAAATACTGCTGATATACTCCAAGTGTTCTTAGGAGCATACGGATTTTTACCTTATAATGCTATTAATTAATAGCCAATTTGGTTCCATAGCACTCTTTCCTTCCCTTCCTAGAGGGGGAAGAGCATCTTGTATTGCAATTACCTGTTCCCTTCTTCCACTGACATAGGATTTAACTTACTCCGTGCAGGGCACTAGGCTAAGCGTTTACACGAATTGTCTTGTTCAATCCTCACAACACCACCTGATGAGATGGGTATTGTTTTCATCATTCTCATTTTACAAATGAGGCTTAGAGTAGTTAAGTAACTTATACAAAGTTATCCAACTACTAAGAATGTGAGCTGGAATTCAAACCTAACTTAATCTCATTTAAAAACCCTAGCTCTTAGCGATTATTCTGCACTGCCTATACTGTAATCTCTAGGAGGGCAGCAACAGCATCTATTCTAGTCAGCATTAAATCTCCAAATGCCTACCAGAGCACCTGAGGAATAGTAGGTACTCAATAAATACGTGTTTCACTGCTAAATGAGTAACTTTTTAAAGCCATGTTCAAAAGAATATGCTCCAGCAGTAGTATCTGAAACTTAAAAACTATGAGTAGATGGTTGACATTATTTTGATGAGATATAGGAGATAAAAATGAAAGCATGGCTTTATAAAACTCAGCCAGTTAAGGGAAGCCATATGAACACATGAGGCCATTAATTCAAAAACAGAAGTAAATATGTGAATATTAAAAAGCCCTATTTGGATAACTATTTCTAGGTAATATAAGCTCTGCTTGTAAATTTTTATTCTCTGTATCTAACTTAATTAACAAATAGAATTTAATTTAGAAATACTTTTCCTCAGGTAGTTTAAAACCCTACAACCAAGATTAATCAAATATATGCAAAAGAAGACTCCAATTACAATGGGATAATAAAATGAAAATATTGTATCATCAATAGTTAGTTATAAAATGTGATTATACTATTAAGTTTAAGAGCATATTAATGTTATTTTAATACTTAAATCTCATTGCTTTCATATGGTTTCCCTCCAAATCTAAGGAAACAAAGATGGAAGAATTTTTTTAATACTATATAGTTTTAATTATATTATTTTCTTTCTTTTTTTTCGGAATGACTTGTCTTTCAAATATTTGGGTACAGGACTATGATAGCTGGCACACTAAACATGAACTTGTTTCAGCATATCGAGTTGAGGCTACAAAAATATTTTTCATTTCTAGTTGGACAGTAAACGAAAAACTTGATTGTTTACAATAAGACAGACACAGAAAGATACCTTCACTGCAAACATAAACATGAATGCAGAATTTGTTATCATTTATAACATAACTGCAGGCTAAAACACCTCCTATATTTCATGCATGCTGGGAATTCTGTGGCATATTTAGATGAGCATATAAAAACGCATCTTGAATTTAAGTAATGGTAAATTTTCACCACAATTCCTTTCCCTTTCCTTACACTGTCATAAATAGAAGACTTTTTTTTTTTTAATATGGCCCCAATTTGAAAATTTGGTTTAAATGACCAAATTTTTCTAAGTTCAATGGGGCTGTTAAAGACAGCAAATAACAATCCCTATGCTATGGGGAGCTACTGGCCTTGGCTCTTCCCTTCTACCAATAGTGCTACATGGAAAAAGTCTGGAAATAAATGCCCAGGATGCGGGGATCTTTAAATAAACGGAACTGTCCGATCAATCCATTCGCTAGCCTTTGTCTCGTGATGGCAAATGAAACATCAGAGAGGTGCATGATGGGACTTGGGATAGGAGATACAGGGCTGGCTCTAATCTGGGACTTAGAAGACCTGATTTTTAATTCTGGCCCTGTCACTAACTAGCTGGGTGAACGTGGGAAAAAGAAAAAGTTACTACATAGAAATTCATGGAAGGAAATTCACTTTTCTCTCTGGGCCTCAGTTTCATCCAGAAGAGCAAGAGTTTAGATAGATCATCTCTGTAAGAACCTTTCAGTTCTTCCATTGTGTGATTCTAAGACTTACAGGCCCTCTAATGAATTCATGTCTTCCAGATCCTTTTCCCCAAAGATAAGTCTCCAGTGGCAAATAGATGTATACTGGGAACATGTGGGAGAAGGTCCCACTCTGTTTGGCCTATTAAACATACTCTGACAGCAAACCTAGCTCTGGCTTCACAGGATTCCAAGGTTGGCATGGTTTACCTGAGCCTCATGGCCCAAAGTTTTTTATCTCCATGAAATGTAAGACCTGGTAAGTAGCTTGAATAAAAAGCCCCCACTGCTGAGATACATCATCTGCTGGGCAGAGATGTGGTGGCCTGATCAAGTTGGAATTGAACCACCAAAGACTTTCTTCGAAAGCCTGAGTCAGAGGATGTCACAGAACATGTACTGTGACATGAAGTGCTTGTCACCACTATCAGATGCTAGAAATGGAAATGGTTTAAATAGGTTGTCAAATCTACTTCTACCTGCCAGAGTAAGAGAGACACAGACTAAAAATTGACTTGGAAAATAACAATCACTGCTTTGTAACCTAAAGGCTTAATTAGAAGTTAAGGGAATTGCTGTTCCATCCATGCAACCCATTCTCAGACAGTTGCAAGCATGCTGAGCATCAACTGTGATGAATTTCAACGTGTACTGTTTTTTGAAGCAATATGCTGCCAGGCTGGCCTATATGATAACAAAATCTCAAATCTTGTTATTTAGAAGAACAAGGAACAGATTTCTGGGATATTCCCACTCTTCTAAAAGCTGCAGAGACCAGCTGGAAAAATCTAAAACAGCAGCCAAGGGCAGAGGGGAGTTTAATCTCCACCCTGCCTTGGGCTTTTCTCTTCCCAGCACAAGTGGCATACTGAGGCCCAGCTAGAAAGAGCAACATGGAACAAAGATAATGAGAGCTAGCAGGAGGGCAAAGAATGCTTATTCCACCCATGGGTAGTTTTCCATATTAAAATGCTGTCTGCCTTTATAAAAAGCTATGAGTTCTTTAATTTCTCACATAATTAATTCCTGCCAACTGGTATGCAAAACAAAGACAAGATGGGGAACAGTATTATCATGGAAGATAACTCTATATCAACACTTTTTCCTTAACACAGTCCAATTTATATAGTTTTCAAGTTGGGCAAATGATGTAGGACCAACAGGCTCCTAGACATTAATCTGGCAACTCTGCTCTGAGACTTACCACAGACTGTTATCTCTTTGGACAGGAGAGTGCTTATGTGAGAGATATTTGGCATCTGCATCAGTACTTTCTTCGCTTCAAACAGCACCGCTAACACATAATGAGGGTGAAGTATCTGTGGAGGGGTGGGAGCAGAGGAAATAAATATAATGAACTAGGAAGAAAGACATGACTGTGTAAAAATTATAAAGGTGGAGCATAAGAGCACATTTCCGGTAGTTGTATTTCAGGATAATCTCTAAATTATTCTCAAGTAGATTATTGTAGCACAATATCTGACATATAACAGGTCCTCAATAGACAATTGTAAATTGAATGAATGAATGAATGATTCCTAGGATGTTGATACTCTCCTGTTCTTAATTGGTATTATCCATTGACAGAACATCTATGATTATTCTTGGTCCTGACAGCCCAAGAGAAGTGACAGATAAAAAGGGAACTCCCTTGTCCTAAGGAAATCTGGAGTCAAAAAGAAAAAAGAGAGAGGAGGGAAGGGACACAAAATGAGGAAGAGAAAGAGACGTCCTGCCATCTGGGATGGAAACTAGATGTTGCTTGCCTTAGAGATCTCACAAGGCAGCCAGACAAATTCCCAATGAACTCCTGAGTCAGGCATCCTAGGTGTGGCTACAATATTTGGTGCATAGACTTAAGAATTTACAGAATAGCAAGCACATTTATCTAAAAGTCTAAATATAAAATATATTCCAAACCCAAATAAAACATTTGGATTATCTCCTATTTATGACTATTCATCCCATTGCTCTCCTCCAGTTACAGGGTTGATGAGAACACTGTTTTGTACAGATTTACTCTGTTTTTCCCCACAGACTTTTTAAGCTAGTGTGTCAGTCTCTCTTTTTTAATTATAAAATACTCCAAATACATAATCCAAAAAATACTACAGCAGGTACTCATGTAACTACCACACAAATTTAACAGATGTTGATACCACATTAGGGTTCAGAACTGTTTAGACCTGCACTGTCCAACTTGGTAGCCACCAGCCACATGGGGCTCTGGAGCACCTGAAATTGGGCTAGTCCAAATGTTGTGAGTGCAAATACACACTGAATGTCAAAGACTTAGTACGTAAAAAAGACAGTAAAATGTCTCATTAATAATTTTGAATATGGTTACATATTTGCCTTAGTCATCTAGCGCTGCTCTAACAGAAGTACCGCAAGTGGATGGTTTTAACGAAGAGAAGTTTATTTCCTCACAGTCAAAGTAGGCTAAAAGTCCAAATCCAGGGCGTCAGCTCCAGGGGAAGGCTTTCTGTCTCTGTCGGCCTTCTATTCTTCGGTGTTCTCCCGGACTAGGAGCTTCTTTGCGCAGGAACCCCGGTCCAAAGGACGCGCTCTGCTCCCGCTACTGCTTTCTTGATGGTATGAGGTCCCCAACTCTCTACTTGCTTCCCTTTCCTTTCATCTCTTGAGAGATAAAAGGCGGTGCAGGCCACACCCCAGGGAAACTCCCTTTACACTGGATCAGGGATGTGACCTGGGTAAAGGTGGTGTTACAATCCCGCCCTAATCCTCTTTAACATAAAATTACAATCACAAAATGGAGGCCAACCACACAATTCTGGGAACCATGGCCCAGCCAAATTTATACACACATTTTTGGGGGGACATAATTCAAACCATGACAATATTGAAACTGTGTTTTTGATATATTGGGTTAAATACATTATTAAAATTAATTTCACCTGTTTCTTTTTACTTTTTTCTCCTTTTTTTTAATTGTGCTTTAGATTTACAGAGCAAATTAGTATCTCATTAAACAATAACATATTGTTTTGTGACATTGGTTGCCAACCCCGTGATGTGGCAACACCCTCCCCTTCTCCACCTTGGGTTCCCCATTACCAGCATTCCTGTCTCCTCCTGCCTTCTCATCCTTGCCCCTGAGCTGGTGTGCCTGTTTAGTCTCCTTTTGTTTTATAGGCCTGTCTAATCTTTGGCTGAGGGGCGAACCTCAGGAGTAACTTCAGTACTGAGTTAAAAGGGTGTCCGAGGGCCATACTCTCAGGATTTTTCCAGTCTTTGTCACGCCAGTAAGTCTGGTCTTTTTTTGTGAGTTATAATTTTGTTCTACATTTTTCTCCAGCTCTGTCTGGGGCCCTCTATTGTGATCCCTGTCAGAGTAGTCAGTGGTGGTAGCTGGGCACCATCTAGTTGTGCTAGATTCAGTCTGGTGGAGGCTGTGGTACTTGCGGTCCATTAGTCCTTTAGACTAATCTTTCCCTTGTGTCTTTGGTTTTCTTCATTCTCCCTTGCTCCAGATGGGGTGGGACCAGTGGAGTATCTTAGACAGCTGCTCACAAGCTTTTAAGACCCCAGACACTACTCACTAAAGTAGGATGTAGGAGATTTTCTTTATAAACTATGTTATGCCAATAGAGCTAGATGTCCCCCGAGACCATGGTCCCCATCCCTCAGCCCAGTAATTCAGTCCCTCAGGGGGTTCAGATGCATCTATGAAGCTTTCATGACCTTGCCTTGGTCAAGTTGTGCTGACTTCCCCTGTCTTACCCTTCACCAAAGTTACCACTTATCTACTGTCTATTTAGGGTTTTTCCCTCCCCGTCCGTCTTCTTTCTCATAACCATAAAAGATTGTTTCTTTCTGTGTGTAAACCTTTCATGAGTTTTTATAATAGTGGTCTCATACAATATTTGTCCTTTTGTGATTGACTTATTTCATTCAGCATAATGCCCTCCAGCATAATGCCCTCCATGCTGTGAGAAGTTTCACAGATTCATCATTTTTCTTTATCATTGCATAGTATTCCATTGTATGTATTATCATAGTTTGTTTATCCATTCATCTGTTGATGGGCATTTAGGTTGTTTCCATCTTTTTTCCTATTGTGAATAATACTGCAATGAATACGGGTGTGCATATGTATATTCGTGTGATGGCTCTTATTTCTCTAGGATATATTCTTAGGAGTGGGATTGCTGGATGGTATGGTATTTCTATTTCTAGCTTTTTAAGGAAGTGCCATATCGTTTTTCAAAATTGTTGTACCATTTTGCATTCCCACCAGCAGTGCATAAGAGTTCCAATCTCCCTGCAGCCTTTCCAACATTTGTTATTTTCTGTTTTTTGGATTCGCACCAGGAATGTCGGGGTGAGATGGTATCTCATTGTAGTTTTGATTTGCATTTCTCTAATGGCTAGTGATCACGAGCATTTCCTCATGTGTCTGGCAGCTTTCTGAATGTCTTCTTTGATGAAGTGTCTGTTCATATCCTTTGCCCATTTTTTAATTGGATTATTTGTCTTTTTGTTGTAGAGGTGTTGGATTTTCCTATAGATTTTAGAGATTAGACCTTTGTCAGATTTGTCATAGACAAAATTTTTTCCCAGTCTGTAGGTTCCTTTTTTATTCTTTTGGTGAAGTCTTTTGATG